TGGTAGATCGGTCAAATATGATCAATTGGTCATATTTGTCAACTAAGTCAAATAATAATTTGTAGATCAATTTTGATGATCTTTTAATAATGTTAATTTTGCAGCTAACACCAGCTACTAAAAACCGATACTGGATTCCGATTCTCCTCAGTGTAGCGATTCTAACAAGCTAAAATTCGTCAAAATCTGATCAGTAGATCAGCGAGAAATCAATATACAAGATTGTTTCGCGATATGGAAAAAAGCATTTTTAATATATCCTGTAATGATCTTATAGATCGATTTCTCGCTGATCTACTAATCCAATTTTGACAGGGTGTGGCAGCCCTGGCTCAGTGGTTAAACCGCGAGTCTCTTATAAGCTAAAAGTTTCATTACACAGTGATATGCCATCAGTTCAGGTATTAGCCGATACATAAAACTGTATGATTTTCTATAAGGAATTTCTTTGTAACTGAAATGATGGGCGTATAAACTAATATGCGTACAAATTTGATTAATCGATCTGTCAATTAATATTGATCATGCCTAAATACTGTATGGCGTTAGAACATGGAAAAGCAAATAAAGTCAAAGATCGACAGAAACTTGGTTCTTGCTGATTGGTCTGTAATAGATATAGTCTCCCTTCTCACCTGGCAGGGGTCCATATTTCCGTATGTGGTCGCTGTCAAAGTGATTACATGTATAAAATAAGGAAGTGATTGACTAAACATTGGTAGATTGGATAACAAACCAGTAATAATTAGACTGCATTACACGGTGCAGTACTGGCCCAAATCGAGCTGTTACTAGGGTTAAAGGTCAGATTCGATTCCTGAGTTGTTTGATATTCTGGATATCAAAGTCATCTGGTTGATATAGTCTATATGCACAACTGGAGATCTCCGTTTAGGCAAATCTTGTGGTACTATCCCATGAACCCTGCGGCTCTCTATATAGTAGTGATAAAGCCAAACCAAGTAATTGGATCTTAGTTATAGTTTACAAAGATCATTGGTAAGGTAGTGAGGACATTTGCGCTGACTGCGGTGTACCCTCAATCCAAATTTAACAGTACCAGTATTGCTAAGATACCTTTCTCCGCATAATGGGGATGTCAGGGTTTAGGATGTCATACCTTAGATGACACAACCTAGGGGATGTGTTCAGTGGCAGATGCCTCTGAAATATGAGGTCAACACTTAAAAGTGTTTTAATGCTATAACCCTACAGGGATACCTAACTACCCATCTTGAGTGTCTGTAGTATAATCGATCACTCAATCTGAAACCATCTTAAAAAAAAATAAAAACTGATCCGATTTTGACGAATTTTAGCTTGTTAGAATTGCCGCACTGAGAAGAATCGGAATCCAATATCGGTTTTTTAGTAGCCGGCCTGCTGAAAAAATTTTCTACACTTAAATTTTATTAAGTAAAAAATTTGATATAGATCGCTAAATTGCGCAAATTTGTCTTAATAATCATACTTCAAATTTTTACTGGATATTATCTAGGTTTTGAGCATTAAATTAAATACAAAATTATGTTTCTAGCATTCGTGGTTGATGAGTTATAAGCTTTTAAAGTCAAGCAACTCTACTTGTGTTTCTTTTGGAAGCTACTGTAGATCACCTGATCTAAAAATAGATCGCATCAAATTTAAAGCTAGTTTTTTGTTTATTTTGATTTTTTAATTTATTCAAAAAAATTTTTGGCCCCAGAGCCCCATTTTCCTAGCAAACCTTCCATATAGTAACATATAAACATACAATTTTAAGGTATTATTCGATGATTATTCTGAAGATTTAACTATCTTTAATAATATTATAAATAAATTCAGTCAGTATAGAATTGATTCAAAGATATTTAACTTAGCCATATTATCTTGACATGTGAAATATTCATTTATTTTAACGAATTTTATAATATTTGATAATCAGAATAACTGTTATGTTATTTAAGTCCAGTGTTTTTTTAAAAATATAATTGATATAAAGTTTAATATTATTTTAGCATTAATAATGATAAAAAAACTTGTAAATAGAAAAATAACAGCTTGATTAGATAGTACTACAGGTGTGTAATACAGAAATTTTTTCCTAATAGTCGTGACATATTATTCTGATACAACACATTCTTTGTCGATTTTTACCAGTAAAATATAAAATTCTATTTATATAATTTTAATATATGTTATTTTAATTTTAGGAAAATGTCTATTCAGAAAATTAGGATTCGGTATAATGGATGGCTTTCAGAATCTTGAAATTTTGAGAAAATATTTTTTTGGAATATTGGAATTCAGGATATTAGCTTCGAAAAAAATATATTCAGAAAATTGAGATTCAGAAAATCGTACTATAACTTTCATATCCATAAATGTTATTGAATATTTAGTTATAAATCTGATAAATCATAATTTCAATATTCATTAATTTTTATTTTGTAATATAAATTTTTCATAATAAACTAAAATCTGACTAATATAATGCTGAAATATTATTTACAAGAAGTTTTATTAAAAAACCAATATATATTTAACTTAAAACTTTTAAATCACAACTTTTTTCAAGAAATTACAGAAAATCACAAAAAAATATGATGGAAACACAATTGTGTTACAATAGTAAAACTTATTCTTTGACTTATGAGAAGTAACAATTTAAATGCGTATTAAGGTGGAATCTAGTATATTTGTATTATGATAGTTTTTTTTAAAAAAAATATTTGATTTATTGAAAATCGGTGTTCCTACTACTGTTATAAGAGCAATAAAATAATTTCAAAATAGAGATATATTATAATTCTATTGAAAGACAGACTGGTAGAAGAAAGATTTTAATAGATCTAATATGAAGGTAATATTTTTTAATTTATTAATTATTATATAATATGTTATATATATTATAGTATTTATTAAAACATAAATTTTTTTTTGGATTTTAAGTGAAATAATAAAAAGCATTCTGATTACTATTTAGAAAAGATTGTTAAAGAAATTATTAGTAGCATTAACAAAGACTATATTCCTAAAAATAAAATAAAAATATAATTAAATATTTATTTATAATCAAGAAATGTTGTGTAAATTAATATACTTTTTACTATGTAAAAAGTCTAAAAGCTAGCAGTCATAGTTTTTCGTGCTTTTTCTTCCCTTTAAATGTGATCTACATAAGTCATTTTTAACTTAGCCAAACTTTTGGCTTTTTAATACTTTACAAAATAATATATATAATAATAAGATTTCACTTCAAATTTCTAATATGCTATATATTGCGCTTTATTTTTACAAACTGCATTATTTTATCAAAATACATATTTATTGTTATAATACTTTCTAATAAGCATTATAAAATTGACTTTTATATATAAAAAAAATTATTTAATCTCATTTCTCCACTTTTGGATTCTATAATTTTATATGTTATTTGTATGATTGGGGTGTTAAAACTTTTTTAAAATTTTTAAAGGTTCTCAATTAGTATGTTAATTAGAATTTACATTATTTTCACTACTAGGAATGCATAAAACTGGAATATGTTTCTTCCTTCTATAATTATCTTTAGAAGATTTTAAATTAGATGAATGTTAATATGAGAGCTCTTTAGTAATAGGAGAATATTCCTTCTGGATCATAGTATCTATTTGATTAAAAGTTATTGCATCATCTTCATCAGCAAGGGTGAGATCAATTACTTAACATCAAATTCATCAGCTTCTATCTTAATGTATAATTCTACTGATTTAGACTGAAATATAACAATATTTTTTCTCAGATGATATGCAAATACATTCTTTTCCAATACTTCATCAGCTTCATCAATATTATCAAAAAATTGTAAATATTTTATATATTCAAGCTCTTAGGTTGTTAATAAAAAATTGATAATTTAGTATGCTTCTTTATAATATTTTTGTTTTGGAAATATTCGTACACTTATAAGTTTCTTCTTAAGATTGCATTTTTAATACTTGCAGAAAAAGAGCTATACAATTAATCCAAATAAAATTGCATAAACTCAATTCAATTCTTACTTTTAAATGCATGTACAGCTAGAAATTCATCAGCAACAAACATTAGATCAATAAAACGTCCACCCACTAACTCATATAGACTATTTGCTGTTTCTTCTTTGATTTTGCATTTGTTGACTAAATATTCTTCCTTAGTAAGATCGCCAATTTCAATCGATTGATTAGCTCATGAGTAGGAAGAATTATCTAAATAGGAATTGCAAAATAAGTCACACTATTTCTTGGAAAAAAAATAATGCCTATACTTACTTTCCATTATTTTTGGAACTGAGCCTACACTGCTGACAAATACTGCAATTTATGTTCAGCTATCAGCATTATCTTTGGCATCATTTTGAAGAATACTAATTGTTTCTGAATCTAATCGGCTAACGTTATCATACACAATAGCCATAGGTCTATCATATTTGACATTATACGCTTTAGCATTATGTTTAAAAGCTTTCAAGGTCTTCACCCACTTCGGATCGTCAGATTTGTCTATCAAGAAAGAAATTAGGGTCAATTGGATTTTATAAAATGTAGCAAAGGTATAAACTCACTATCAATATTGCCCAATTTTCGTCTCAATTGATTATTAAAAGAGAAAGCCTCCTCAAATGCAAAATTGATAGCTTTCTAAATGCTTCGCCAAAATCATTAACAACATCGATGTATACAACGCCACGACCAACTTTTCTTGATGCAAGTCTGATCGGTGTAGTCATACCAGTTCCATGTTCGTCACAAACCGTATAATAACGAGACTGATTTTTGGCTGGTTGGAAAATAGCTTTGAGGTGGTTTAAAATTATAGGTCAAGGAAAAAGTTCATCATTTGAAAAGTTAATTTTAGGTTAAGTGCCTTTTTCTACAGTTTTGATTAGACAACTATCATTGTGTCTATTTTATAACAAGCGATATAGACTATTGTGCAAAAAATAACTAAGTATACCCAGTAAAATTGAAATAACGCCTAACCAAAAGGCAAGCCTACAAATAGTGAGAAGGTGATTAGAAATAGTCAAAAATAACAAATATACTCATACTATACAGTAGAGGGGGAAAGTAAACTCAGAAGCGTGTAAGGATGAAGAGATTGTAATAGGTTCCGAAAATAAAAAATATGATATAACGTCAAAAATATAATTATAAATATAAATATTTTTGTTTTGCATTGCACTCAAAGCCTAACGAAGTGGGAGACTTGAATGATTCTGGAGGGTGACATTGGTAAAGTATTTAGTTATGGATTGAAGAACAAATTAATCACGATCGACAAATCACGACGACAGTAATTATATTGAGACTGAGAGATGAATATTTTTTTTCGCATTTGCAATATCTAAACTTTCAGTGAGTTTTATTAAGGTCAGTACTGTTAATTTATTTCTGACTTTGGCAATGTTATATGCATAACTGACGACAATTTTATTCTAGTTAATGTTGGGATATTTTGTTAGTATATAGATACTTTAGAAATGGCAGGCATTAGTATAAAAACGTCATTTCACTTTGTAAAACAAGTTTATGTATTACCGAATCTTGTAATTTATTTTTTAGAATTCTTTACATTAATAAATTAGTAATTCCGATTTGTCACGGTTTTTTTTTCTTGGCAATTTTTCGTTGATGGTCGTCACGCAAATTTTATGGTACTTTTTTCTATATATACTAACAAACTTTTGAAAGTTCCCAACTTTATAAAATATTATCATGTCATCCGAACTTGACTCATTGAGACAATGCATCACTAAGCTTGTGGCTAAGAATTTCGAGCTTGAGGCTAAATATATTGAGGTTATGGATGAGAATGCTAGGGTCAAGGTTGAGAATATCAAAGTTAAATTTGAGAATGCAAAATTATGGCTGCTTTGAAAGAACATGAAGCCAGATTCACGAACCTAGAGTAGAGAGATAAAGAAAAGACAACTCTTATTGCTGAATTAGATGAACGCAGAAGATAGGCTGTGTGACGTAAGATTTGTATAAATAACTTTGCGCAGGAAATATATTTTTTTTCTCACATTTCCAGATTTTTTTGCGCTTCATGTCTCCGGTCATTCTACTATCATAGCAATAAAACAATATTCGCATGATGGGGATTTGGGGAATGTGTATGTGTCACCTCCTAAATTCATAAGAGGTGATTTTATATATGTTAAATTTATTAGGTTTATTATGGAACACAATGTAGTATAGCGAAAATATATATGTAAAAAATTGTATATAGTTTAAATAAAGTTTTTATTGAAATAATCAAATGGAAATAAATTTATTAAAAAAAATGTAAAATAATAAAATAAATGCAATTATTATCGTCAAGGCTGTAGTGATCAGTTATATTCCGAGAGTGACACACTGAGATCATCTTTATTAATTAGCAAGGGCGATTAGCGAAATGACGAAATGCAGCGCATAATTGCTAGTGAAAATCCGGCATTATATACTCTGCGTCACTACTAGCGCTATAAAAACAAGAAATTGTATAGTTATATTTTGGAAAACGTTAACCATGGGAAAACCAAGAGAGCTCAGATAATACGAAGGTCCCACCTGATACGGAAAACCTGATTACTGAACAAAGCAGTGATATTTACAAACTGCAACCAACGCGTAATAGAACCTTAAATTAATTGCGTTGAATATACGTGAAGAACCGGATTTTTCAGAAAAGGTGATATTCCCATCTTAACAGAAGACCCACCTAGATCGCCCGTTCTAAAACGTTTGTGGTGATATTTCCCGTTGGACTTGTGCGAAAGAAATTGATAAGTGAGGGACACCATATTGCGTTACAGATAACAGTGATCCACAAGATTTTGTGATGATGAGTTACGTGTGCCAAGTGCTTTGAAGTAATCTCAACGAAACCTTTATCGAGACCGCGTCAGCATTTCGATTGTATTGATAATAAACGTAAGTTGTGTCCTAATGCCCGTACAATTTATGATCTGGAAAAAGAAGGGTATTACATTTCACCTACCTTTCATGAAATACCCAGAAAAAAAAGAGGCAAGAGGATGAACGTAAATCTTCTAGAGGCACAAAAGCACAAATCATCATTCGTGAGCTGTCTGTCTTCCCAGCTAGCAGACCATACTTAAGTGAACCTTCTGAAGGATCTAACATGGGAGAAGTTTTGAATCAATTTCAACAATTATACTATGACATTGATATTGCGAAAAAGGATGGGATAAAAGTAATGAGGAGTTATTTCGTTTTTATTTTCATTTTGGGAAAGCTCTATCAGACTTTTGCACAAAGCTGAATGAAGAAGTTAAGGAAGTTCTTCTGGGAAATGTGAAAGGAGTATGGTGCGTAAAAGAACATATACGGCCAGAAAAATTTACGACATCTTTAATGTGATAAGGTTCGTCGTATCAAGTCTTTTACTGCATCCAGTTTTTCGGATCTAACGAGAAGTGATATCACATACATCATAAAATATTTCGAAGATTATAAATCATTATAAACAACATAAACATTCAAATACGATACATTTAAAGAATAATATTGTAAAGAGGTTAATTTTGGTATATTAGATTCTCTCAAGTGTATTTTAGATCCTAAAGAAGTACAAGCGATAGTAAAACTGCATTTCGGACATTCTAATTTCCGAAGAATCATATGATCGACATATGATACATATATATTACATTTTTTTTATTTTTTTTTTTTTGGTCACAAATTATGCATGAAAAATTGGCATGCATCATCTAATATCTAAAGTTTTTTTTTCTTTAAAAAATAAAATTAAATAAAAAATTAAACTCGCAACGTATTTAAAGCTTCCACATAAGAAGGTAAAGGCATACAAATCAAGCTATCATCATCCTTCAATAATCAAACTCATTCTTGCTAATAGGATAGGATTATACGACAATATGGAATCACCAACCGCATGGGATATTGATGATGGACGTAATCTTTTAAGACTAAGTTCAGACAAGCTTATA